ATCCACTGAGAAAACACGGACTAGTAGCTGGCAATGTATACTAACATTCCCACCCTAGCCGCTGAATCATTAAATACTAGCAACCCACTATAAGTGACCCATCGGCCCACTCACATTCAGTGGTTCTCAACCTTCCTAATGCCAGGACCCTTTCATAAAGTTCCTCATGTTCTGGTGACCCCAACCATAAAATTATTTTCGTTGCTACTTCATAACTGTCATTTTGCTACTGTGATGTATCAGGCAACCCCTGTGAAAGGGTCCTTGGACCCCAAAGGGGTCGCAACGCACAGGTTGAGAGCCGCTGACTCCTATCATAGACGACATTGACGGGAACAGCTGGATGGAATACCTATCAGTCAAAACAAGGCAAGGGGCCAATCACAAAACAGACCGTCAAACTGATCCTATGCGAGTTTAAGTTGAGGCTGACGAAAAGTGTGTCAAGTTCATGTGAGTCAAAGTACGACCTTGGATATAATCCATGTGGATTTAGAGACCATCACAAGAATAGATTTGACATGAATTCTACCAACTACAGATCAGACAATTTGAAGGATGAATAAAGAATATCATATATGAAAAAAGTAAATTCACTGCAATTGAGTCGAGTCTGACTCATGGCAACCCTGTAAGACTGCGTGTGGGTTTCTGAGACTAACCCTTTCTGTAAATCATTTTATTGGGGGCTCATACAACTCTTATCACAATCCATCCATCATCCATTGTGTGAAGCACACTTGTACATTGGTTGCCATCATCATTTTCAAAACATTTGCTGTCTGCTTGAGCCCTTGGTATCAGCTCCTCATTTTTCTCCCTCCCTCCTCACTCCCCCCTTCCTCATGAGCCCTTGATAATTTATAAATTATTATTATTTTGTCATGTCTTACACTGCCGAGACTAACTCTTTATGGGAGTAGTAACCTCATCTTTCTCCCTTGGTGCAGCTGGTGATTTCAAACTGCTGACCCGATGAACCACAGTCCAACATGTAACTGGGCCAGGCCCGAGGTGTATATGGAAAAAAAAGCAGAGGTCATTAAAAATAAAAAGGCTCAAATGGATGACAGAAGAGACACTAAAACTTGCTCTTGAGTGTAGAATTCCTGAAATAAAAGGAAGCAATGATGAAATGAAAGCTGAAGAGAGTATTTCACGGATCGTTTGAGGAGACAACTTATTACCATGAAATGTGCAAAGGCCTGGAATTATATAACCAAAATGAAAGACCATCTTTCAAATAAAGTAAAAAAAGAAAAAAAGTAGCCTCCATTTGTAATTTAAATAAAATGTTGGACGCTGCAACAGAAGAGGGGAGGGAGCACTTCCAACAAGATGCTGGGCAAGGGAGACATGCTACCTAGACCTACTCTAGCAGAGATTTGTGAGATCAAATAAAACAGATACTGATGCTATACTTCCGTCCGTCTGTCACAGTGTGGTGGCATGTTTGTGGCTGTGATGCTAAAAGCTACACCTCCGGCATTTCAAGTACCAGCAGGATGACCCATGGGTTTCCGGTGTAGCTTCCAGCCCAAGACAGAGTACGAAGATGAAAGAAGTGGGCCCCTTCTGAAAAGTAGCCACTGAAAACCTCAGGTACAGCAGTGGAATATTATCTGAGGTCGTCTCAGAAGATGAGCCACTCAGGTCGAAAGGGACCTAACACAGGGTAGAAGAAAGAGGCCTCCTTGAAGTAGGGCTGACCTTAATGTGTGAAGTAGGACCAACGCTTTCAGGACCTTCATTTGCTGATAGGGTACAACTCAAAATGAGAAATAACTGCTCAAAAAGACTCAGAATGTGGAATGCAGAAAGTATAAATATATGAAAATTGGGAGTCTTCAAAGGACAGGAATTCCAAAACAGTTGTGCTCACGTGGAACCGGTACATAAACCAAGAGGCAGCCATCTGAAAACAAAAAACAAACAAGGAGGTGCTGCCTGGTTTGAAATCAGACAAGGTGTGGGTCAAGATTATGTCTTCTCACCATATTCAATCCGTGTATATGTTGCACAAATAATCCGAGAAGTTTAACTATCTGAAGAAAACGTGGCACCAGAATTAAAGGAGGGTTCATTGACCCGTGATGTACCAGTGACAACTCTGTTTGCTGAAAGCAATGAGGACTTGGGTACTTGCCAGTGTGAAAACCAAGGACGAACAGCCTTCAGGATGGATTAGTTACAGCTCAAAATAAAAACCACTGTCCCCAAGTCCATGCCGACTCACAGGGACCCTAGAAGACAGGGTAGAAGTGCCCCTGCGGGTTTCTGAGGCTGTGACCCCTTACATTTCTATAGGAGCAGGCAGGGTCATCCTTCCCACGCAGAGTGGCTGGTGGGTTTGATTTGCTGGCTGTGGGAGTGGTAGTGCAGTGCCTATAAGCCACCATGTCAACAGGGCTCTTCCCTGACCAAAAAGAAACCCTCATGCCGGGGCCAATAACCAGCACAATGGAGAAAGGAGCAGAGTTGTCCAGGACTTGATTTCATGTTGCTCCCCCATCAACACCCAAAAGAGCAGCAGTCGCGAAACAGAATTAGTTTTATGCATCCACTGGGCAAATGTGCTACCCAAGGCCTCTTCGCAGGGTTAACCAGCCAAGGTGGCACTTGGAACACCGAGGGGAGCGGGACCCAAGCCATGGTGTTTTCGGTCACCTCACAGACACACAGAAGCTGGGCAAGGGAAAAGGAGACGGATGCATAGGCAAAGAAGACTGAGTATGCCACCGAACGCCCCCCACCCCCCAAAACCCAACCCATCTTTTCAGATTGCTTCTTAAGAGAGAAGAGGCAAGCTTTGGGACATGTTCTCAAGAGGGACGGTCCCTGAAGAACAACATGCTTGACAAAGTCGAGGGTCAAAGAAGAAGAGAAAGACCGTCGATGAGGTGGATGGATACAGTGGTTGCAACAATGGATTGAAGTATCCCGGTGACTGTGAGGATGGAGCCAAATCGGACAATGCTTAATTCACCTGAATGTAATGTTGCTATTAGTCAGAACCCCCTAGACGGGACGTAACGGCCACGTGGACAGGGGAGGGAAATGGCACTGGCTGACTGGGGACTAGACTTTATACTTTTAACATTTCGCCCAGTCTCCCCGATTGTGGGAGGTGTGCATAGCCGCCACCATTTTTTAATGTATGTTGAAGTTGAGGCTTAAAGAAGTCGCTGCCTAGACCACCGCCGCACCTGCCCAGGTGTCTCAGAGCACACCGCCCTCGCCATCTCCACTTCTCGCCTGTTGAGTGTTCATAACGACATAGTAAGATCTGACCATCGTGGACCCCTTCCTTTGGGGTGAGCACTGTGCTTTGGATGGATTGCCATCCCATTTTTTTAATTAAATAATCATTTTATCAGGGGCTCAGACAACTCATCACAATCTGTACCTACATCACTTGTGTCCAGCTCATTAGTACTTATGTCGACTTCATCATTCTCACAACACCCGCTTTCCGCCACCCCATTTTATGTTCATCATAACCCTAGGAGGGCTATTCTCCTCGAGGCTGCTCAGCGGCCCCCGCCCCGCTGAATCTAGACCTCCGGCCTTGGAAAGTGAGTCCTGGGCTGTGTAAATAGCTCCGCCGAGTGAGCACAGCATCCTCCTCCAATTCCTTGGGCTCAGGAGAACTAGCTGCCTCCGTCTTCAGCAAGGCTGTCTCCCAGAGTGTAATCACGCAGCTCTTTGTTCTGCTCGCGGCCGAACATGTTCCACTCTGTCTTATTTTCTCGTCTCTCCTCATCCCCAGCCCCATCCTCTGAACACAATTCGGTTTGGCTGCGTCCTCCTGAAAGTGCCGGCTGATTGGCGAATGCTGCCCACAGGGGAAGCAGAGCCCAAGCTTCCCGTGGGAGGGGCGTTCGGGCTCAGGCTTCAGACAATGGCCAGAATACCTGGAACTGCAAGGCAAGGCATTTTGTATTTGGGGAGGAAGGGGTGAGGGGGGTTCCTTCTGCCAGTGAATGCTTCCTTAAGAGAAGGTGAAGTCACCCTGCGGTCACAATGACATCATGATCCCACAGAAGCTAGAAATTTAGGGAATGAACATGAATCAGGTTGAGCCTGTGGGAAATCGTTCCAAGGGCCTGCACATCAGACAGTGGGTAACACACCCCATCCCGTGGGGCTACTGGGCGGGTTAAATGAATGTAATAGAATAGAATGCTTAGTAGAGCCAAGGATCAATAAATATCAAGTGCTATGTAGATCATCTCTGAAATGAAGACTGCATTGGGAGAAGGACTACTTCTTCCTGGGGAAGGGACAGGCAAGAAAGCATCAACATGTACCAGGACTCCCCTGGCGATACGTGATCCACTTTAATCCTCGACAGCATATGATAACGTTCTTGTCCCCATTTTAAAGATTTGGAAGCCAAGGTTCAAGCAAGGTAGGGATGAAAGGATAATGTCGGTGTATCCAGTGGGGTGGAGAGAAACCACAGGGACCCTCAGCCCAGGAAGAGAAAGTTGAGTTTGAAGAACGTGACTCCCTCGCACCGGCTCCCAGCCAGGGTCCTAGCAACAAGGCACTCCTAGGGCTAGCTCGTGACCCCGCCCCTACCAAGCCCAGCCAATGAGGAAGCCCTCCACAGCGTCTGGTTGCCAGGTAACCGTTGGCCCCAACCTCTCAGTTACCGGCAGGCCGCTTTTCGGCCAGGTGGCTGCGGGCAGAGGCCAGCATTTGCACTGTCTTAGCCTAGGTTTCCGGCACTCTGGGGGCCCCTCCCTTAGTCACTGGAGTTTTATATTCTTAGTTTATATTTTATTTTTGTTGATGAGGGAGAAAGCTAGTTCCCTCCAGACGACTCGCTTTCCCATTACTCCGTGGACTGAAATTTCTTTAGGGTTGGTGGTGTGGTTAGGACTCAGGAAACCAGGAAAAATCGCTGGAGCATCCTACCCCAGTGGCAGCAGGCTCCCAGACTCCAGCCAAGTCCTTCCCTCGGGGGCACAGACCCAGCTCCAAGGATTTCCAAGATGACCAAGGTACAAGCCACCAAGAGGACCCATACCACCCCCAACAGTGTGGCCCTTTGGCCCTTTCTCGCCTCCGATCACACAGCACAGGTAAGCCTGTCCTCTCCGCCGAAGCCAATCAGGTCTGCAAGACGAAAGGGGAGGGCACCCCCCACCAACAGGGGGAAGGGAAGCAGGAAGTGGGGCAGCAATGAGATTGGGAAGACACATCCGTCGATGGTCGGTTTCTCCTGGAGACCGGAAACGCCAGGTAGAACGGCGAGCCGGGCCAGCCTATTAGGCGGTAATTCTGAAATGATGTAATAAATCAGCGGTGACACTGTAGAACATCAGAAAAAATGAAGATGAATTGTAGGTTTGCTGTCATGGAAGTTATTTCCGGAGCTCGGCTGGGCTGGGGAGCGGGGGAGATGTACCTTCTCTCTGTGCCGACGGGCTGGGGGTGGGAGAGACACAGCTTGGTGGTTTGAAGCCTGGCTTTGCTTCAGCTAGCTATGAGACATTGTATCCCCAACTTTCATCTACTTGTCTCTCTGAGGCATTGCAAGAGAACGATGAAGCTGTCTCTTCCCACGAAGACTGACAGGCTCAGAAACCCAAAGGAGCCGCTCGTTCTACTGGGCCCTGCAGGTTTCCTAGGAGTTAGCAGGCGTGGAGGTGAAAATGGGGGTGCGTGGGGGAGTAGTAGAATGGGGCACAGGAGGTTCAGTGGTAGAATCCCCACCTTCCACTCTGGACGTCCGGATTCCATTTCCGGCCAATGGGCCTCAGGTGTAGCCGCCTGTCAGTCAGTGGAGGCTGACAGGTTGCTCGGATGCTGAACAGATTCCAGGGGGACTTCTAAAGACACTCTGCTTGAAAGTCAACCCGTGAAATCCCCCTGGATCAAAATAGTGGGGTCCTATTGTGGGAGGGGTCGCCATGAATTAGGGGCCAAGTCTGATGCAGCTAACAATGGCAGCAAGGGAGGACAGAAGCATCGTCAGGGGGGAAACTGTAGGTGCATTAATTGAGTAAGGTAAGGACATTGTTTAAGGGGCTGTCTAATAAACAGGTGGGCCCCAGAAGGTTTGTGGAAACATGGAATGAAAAGAAAATGGGGCTTTTCCACCCATTTTTTGGAAGCCCCGTCATCTATCAACACTGGGTAAGTTTGCGTATGCAAGAAACTCTGGACAGACATGAAAGGATCTTATGTACTGAATGCGTGCGGTGCGTCATCAATAGAAGTGTGCCTTGGTTATTTGTATGCCGGCCAAGGTAGGGGGCAGTGGGAGGAAGACGGTGGGCAGTTTGGGCCCACTCCAGCCCATGTATTGTCCAGTTGTTCACAGCCAGGCCCAGCTGGGGCGGCAGCAGGGGTGAGGAGCAAAGGCGCAGAAGGAATGCTGAAGACTTCGGGGTGCTTTTCTTGGTGGCCCAAGGTGCTCCCGCCTCTCTGACGGTGAACACAGCTCTAGGCGCCTCTCACGCACACACGCACGCACACATGGGCCTCTGAGAGGTCTCTCTGCAAGCTGTGATCTTCCCACCTCTCCTTTCATTCGAACCTGCCACACACACTGATTCCCATCTGGAGCAGGCCCTCCGGCAGGTAACTTCCCCCAGGGATGAGAGGAGCCAAGAGCCAGAGGAGAAGGGCTGAGAGCAGGGGCTGGGGCTCCCACCAGCCCTGTGATCTTGGGTGAGCTGCAGAGCTACTCTGCCACCCAGTTGCCCTCTGCAAAGTGGGGGTATCATGCACCTCCTCTGGGGTTTGCCAGAGCACCCACTGTGTTCATTCCTGTCAAACGTTCCTCGAAGGAATGTTAGCCGACAAGTTGTACACACTCCCTGGACTTTAGTTATCTATTTATTTAATTTAACAAATGGGTATTGAACCTCTATTGGGTGCTAAACGCGTATACTTGTAAATAACGAAGGATTTGCCTTCACAACCTTACAATCTACAACTGTTGTGTGAAGAGGTTGCTCATTCTTTAAAAACTACCGTAACTCAACCTACTGCCATCAAATCGGCGCGTTCCAACCCATAGTGACCCTACATAAAATTTCCAAGGCTTCAAGTCTGTATGGGAGCGGAGAACCTCATCTTTCTCACAAAGACTGGTTAGTGGGTTTGAACCACTGACAATGTGGTTAGCAGCCCAATCCGTACCCAATAGGGTCACCGGGGCTCCTAGGAACTACCAAAAACAACTGAAAAACTCACTGCTGGGGACTCGATTCTGACTCATAGCAACCCCCTGGGACAGAGTAGAACTGCCCTGCCAGTTTCGGAGATGGTAACTCTTTACAGGAACAGAAAGCCTCATCTTTCTCCGGAGAAGAGGCTGCTATTTTCAAACTGCCGACCTTCGAGGGAATAGCCCAATGCATAACCCACTATGCATGCCACCAGAGCTCAGAGACTGGTCATATGACCCAGCAATTCCACTCCTAGACATACAGCCAAGAGACTTGAAGGAGTGACGCACGCAGATACATGCCCTCACTGTTCACTGTGGACCTGCTCACAACTGCCAGTGTCCACCCAAGGATGACCAACGCATGATGTAGACACGGAAGAGCATACGGCTAGGATTAAAAAAGAAATGAAGTCCTGATACATACTACCTCATGGATAAACCCTGAAAACATCATGCTAAGTGAAACCAGTCACGAAGGACAAATATCCTATGGTCTCAACTCTGTAAAAATAACCTAGGCTAAGCAAACGTATAGAGGCCAGAGTTTATGAGTGGCTGCCAAGGTTGGGAAGGAGGTGGAGGTCACTATTATAACAGTGAACTTCTGGTTACAGTAATGGAATTTGGTGACTGGTATTGGTGAGAGTGGTCAATATGATAAATGTAATTGGTATCATGGAGTTGTACACGTGAAAAGAACGTTAAATCAGCAGATATTATGTTGCATACATTTTTATAATCAAGTATAAAACAAAGAAGAGGGTGGGAGTGAAAGAAACAGATGATTAATTATATTTCAGGGTATTTTTGAAGTACACAGGAAGTATCATAGGATTTGTGGGAACATGGAGAGAGGACCTCTAACTCAGGGGTGTGTGTGTGTGTGTGTGTGCGCGCGCGCGCATACCTAGGCAACACTGCAGGTTCTGTTCTAGATTGGCGTAATAAAGCAAGTATCACAATAAAGCAAGTCCAATGAATTGTGGGTTCCCCAGTGCCTGTGAGAGTTATGTTTACCCTGGACTGTAGTCTCCAGTAAGTGTACACTAGAATTATGAACAAGTATGGAATATTGTGAGAATGACCACAATGGGACTCAGACATGTAATGAGTACAGGCTGTGGGGAAAATGGCATTGACAGACTTGCCTGATGCGGGCTGCCCCAGAACTTGGATCTGTAAATACACAGAAGGACAAGATTGTTTACAAAGCACAAGAGCGTGTAAGGTTTACCAGTACCTGATAACAAGTTTCTCATTCTTCGATAGAAAGATGGAGAGTGGGGAACATACAGAGGTGGGAATGATCAGCTCCTCTTAGAGATCGGGGGAGGTCAGCTTGTGGGAAGGCAGCTTTCTGGGGACTCTTGGACAAGCCTGAGGCTTAAGTACCTTCTAGAAGTCCTACTGCCCCACCTGACTTCTAGGAAATAATGATGAAGACCCAACGTGTCCCTGACCCAGGCCACATTTAAAGGATAATCCTATGCCTCAGGGATTTTTGACCGTCTAGACTTCTAGAGCAAGGGCTGGCACACTGCGACTCTCAAACCCTGTGCAGCAATTTCAGGACATGCGTGTGCCTCGGAAGTAAAATTGAAAAAAATGTTAAGGAAATTAGTCAGATAATGGTGATTTCATTTGTATATTTATGGCTCTGGAATCATTTTAAATTTTTGTGAGGGACATTATTGGCTTTTATGTCTCAAAGGTTGCCGACCCCTGTTCTAGAGCAGTGGTTCTCAGCCTTCCTCATGCCTTTCATACAGTTCCTCATGTGGTGGTGACCCCCCAATCATATAATTATTTTTGTTGCTACTTTATAACTGTAATTTTGCTACTGTTATGAATCATCTTGTAAATATCTGATAGGCAGGATATATTTCATCGTTATTTAATGATGTATTTAACATCATTAAAACATAGTCATTCATCACAAAAATAATATGTAATTATATATTATGAAATATTTGTTTCTCATTACAAATAAATGAAATGTCTTGAAACATGGTGTAGCATGGGTAACAGTCTTCATGCCAGGGTACTCATAGGTGGGCATATCTGCATATGGGCAGACCCACCTGGAGACGGATAGAGGAGTGGTGTCTCAGTTACTAAGACCATCAGAAATAGGTGTTTTCTGATGGTCTTAGGCGACCCCTGTGAAAGGGTCATTCGCCTCCCAAAGGGGTCGTGACCCACAGGTTGAGAACCGCTGCTCTAGAGCTACTGTAAGTCATTGCTTAACCTAAAGCAGGCTAACTAGACAGTGACAAACCACCAGGAAACATGCAGCAATTAGGATTGACTTCTGGTACGAATCCAACCAGCAATAACTGCAGTCACGGTAATAAGGGCAGGGGCAATTGACACATCCGGTGCTGAGCGAAAGTCTTGCCATGTGATGTTTCAGAGCTAGAATCCCACGAGGTGTGCACTGTTACCTACTCATGAGATAGGTGGCAAGAGGGAGAATTAGTAAGGACAGGTCCCTTACCCAAGGACAGCCCACAAGGAGCAGTGTAGGGATTTGAACTTAGATCTGTCTGACACCAGAATCCAAGCGCTCTCTATCTCACCTGGCCAGTCAACATTGATAAGGGCGCACCATCTTCAGTGCCATGGGGGGAAAAGAAGGGGTGGGGGGAGATACAGAAATAAGTGTAACGCACAGTCACTGGCTTTAGAACCTTCAAAGGCCTATTAATGGGACAACACACACACACATGCCACCCACATCCACACACACAAGAGAATAACAAAACACCATGCAGCTGGGAAAGCCAACCAAGAGTGAACCAACTCTCAGAGTGGGGAAAGGCTGGCCACACCTGAAGACACCGTGACCAGCCCTCGGCTAGCAACCAGCCGGCTGGAGGTCCCAGGCCCCTCAGACCTCAG